CTCCTCCAGGCTCCCCCCGAGGAACCAGGCTCAGACCCCAGGCGTTAAGAGCAAAGCAGAACCCCGAGGAGGGAACAGAAGGCCCCGAGCTGAGCTCTGACAGCTCTGGCAAATCAAGAAAAAAAAGAAAAAAACTCACATTCAACATCTCTTTGTGCTCTTAACGCCATTTGGGGCTTGGCAGCCATCATCCTCCTCCTCCTCCCCTCCTTGATAAGCCAAGGAGGGAAAACCTCCACAATTTGGGATACCAGGTCTTGTCTCAGCAGGTAAAGAAATAAATCACGCCTTCATTTTAATGTTGGGTTGTTTTTTTTTTCTCTCTCATTCCAAATTATGCCTGATCTTGTCTATGGGATCTGAGCCAGTCATCACTGCAACCTCCAGAAGGTTTGGATATTCAGTTGGAACATCTAATGGCAGTCAAATTAAATATTCGACTTCAGTCACAAGCACACGATGGTTCCAGCCTTTGTCTCCAAGTTCAGCCCAGCATTCCCCGTGCTCCCAGTTTATCCATCGATATGTGCCATTAAAACCCCCCAAACCTGCTCTCTGCCCCCCAACAGGTCCAAGTTATGGTCTCTCTTACCTTAAATTCTGAAGTATCAAACCGCTTTGGAAAATCCTTCAGGGAGAGGGTCTGATCCCAGCCTGGCTTTGTCTCCTTCTTTCATTCCTTCAGTGCAACATCAGCTTTTGGTCAAGTAAAACTCTGGTGCAAAAGTGTAAGTGTGATACTCAAAGCTTTCTAAACTGAGGTTCCTTCTTTCACCAGCCCCAAGAGGACAGGTCAAGGGGTGCAGGGCTCAATGAGCCCCTTAGAATAATAATTCCCAAGAAGCCAGGCAGCCCCAGGGTCAAGGACACAACTCAGGAAAGGCAGGACCCCAGCGAGACCAGTGTCACCAAGAGTTTGGCTTCCTGGCTCCAGGGGAAAGCACTTAGTAAAGCCAAATACTTCAGAAAATGGTGTTTATAGTGAAGAATTAGGTGGCTGTTCACACACACCAACCTCAACCTTGTCTTTACCATGGAGCAGCACAAGTACCTGTGGGTGTCTTCAGAGGAAGGGGTTGGAGGTTTTTTAAGGCACCTGTACCCAAATCCATCTCAAAAACCACTTTTCCTCAGAGCACAGGGTACAGCCCTACCCCTTTCTCACACCTCAGAGAAAACAAATGGAAAAATGCAAATCTCATTGTGGGCAAGAGTTAACCTTCAGCCTGGCCCTGTGGCACCATGTACCATCCCAACACATCTGCAGCAGACACCAAAACAAAAATAATCCTTATCCCAAACAGCATTTTCAGTAGGGACAGGCTGACCAGCCCGGCACAGAACAGGTTGCTGATTTTTAGGCTCTGACACTGCAGGAAACAGTACACAAACCACCATTGAACAGCACATCTCCTAGAAACCCTCACCCCCCCCCCCCCAAAAATAAAAGGGCTCAGATAAGTCATGTGGTAACAAGGCTTCGTTTGTTGAAGTGTCAGCATCCAAAGGGAGGTGGCTCCCAACTCTTTTTAACAAACACACACACAACAGCTGACAACTGCTGAGGTGTCAAAACAAAGCTCCAATTGTAAAATTAAGACAATGGAAGGGCTCTGGGGGAAAGCAAAGCCTGCCCAGGGGACACAAGGAAAAGCACCACCACAGCCCCTTTCCACCCAGCGCCGGGCACGGACACCCCTCGCAGCCCTCCACCAACCAACTCCATTTCCAGAAGGAATTCTTATGATAACAGCACTGTGCAGCTTTATTTAGTCACTCAGTTACAGCAGTATTTTAGCAGAGTGGGACAGTCAGATATTTTTTTTTTGCAGTGTAACAGATATTCAGCATGGAACAGGAGATACTACAGATTCCTTTCACAAACGTCTTACAGAGCTGATACAGTACTAGCCATCAACCCAGTAGCAAGAGCACTGGAGTAGAAAAAGGATGCAACAAGAAGATAGCTACACTGGAAAGACAACACTTCTTTTTTCTTTTTTAGAAAAAGTGAAACATGTAAGTTCTCCCCTCTAGCCCCCAAAAGAAAAAGTGTACAGTTCGGATCTAATTTTAACAGTTCTACATCAGTTTCTAGAAACTTAAAAAAAACAAACAAAACAAACAAAACCAAAAGATAAAACCACTGGCCAGTACAGTCTTTGGATATTTAGAGGTGGGGGAGAGAGTCAGTTTCCAGAATGAAATCAGTCGGTTTCAGCCTCACCGGGGTCTTTGCCTTCTTTGTTCTTTCGAACCTCCTCAATGTGCTTGTCCTGAAAGACAGCAGTGGGGAGCAGTCAGCTGTGTGAGCCCCAGGGCCAGCCCCCCCAATTCCCACCCCCCGCAGGAGCTCCAGGGATAGGTTACTGGGGGGGGGCTACCAGCTTTGTGGGCCCCAGGGCCAGCCCCCCCAGTTCCCACCCCCAGAAGAGCAGGAACCCTGGGTGTTGGTTACTGGAAGGGGTTTACAGGATGCTGCTTTACAAGAAAAATTGAGATGTTTCTCTCCATCTACCCCATCTCCCACCAAGAGAAGGATTTCTGAATAATTTTGCAGATTTATTAATCTTAATAATTTAAGACTAGACCAGCAGAGAACTCCCAAGGATACCCATCTATTCATACCCCCTCCTCACTCGGCCATTTACTCAGCTTTTTTCAGCCAATTTTCAAAGTAAGGAGCATGGATAATCTCTCTCCCAAAGGAGAACTGGGACTCTACACCCACCTTCTCCCTCAAGCGTTCCAGTTTAGCAGCCATTTGCGCCTCACGGTTTTCTTTGTTGGCTTCCATTTTGTGGGTCAGCTTCTCCTCTGCCATTTTGCTGAAGTTGTTGTTTTCTTCAATGGCTTTCTGAAGCACCTCCTTTTCATGCTCCCGCTTCTCAGCGAGCTGCTTCAAGACTTCTGCTTCATGAGACTAACAGAAGAGAGGACGCAGGCTTTGAACACAAACCAGATGAACTATACAGACAACTACGTGGCTCACAACTCCTGAGAGACAAGATTTTCCACTATTTTACCAGAGAATGGCATTAACTCCACGACACAGGACACAGCTCCCTGGTGCTTCCCCCCCACCCACATAACCCAGATGTCACCATTATAAGCTACCAGGAAAGTTAAGTTTTTATCATCACTTGCAAGTCTTGTTAAATGAGATTTTTGTGGAAAAAAGAACATGGATTGTTTTATGTTAACACTGATAAATCTTTTCCTAGAAGATTCTTCCTTCTCCTAACGGTGAATCACCAAGATCCACATCACACAGGAGTTAATTAATAAATTTGGTTAATAAGCCTTTGCACGGTTGAGGGCTCCAAGCTACATCTCAACAGCAAGATCTTCCATCAAGTCAGGCACTGTATTGGCAAACCTTTTAATTACAGAACCACCACTACATTTTCTAAGAGAAAATTAATCTGTTATTATGTTAATGACAAGAAAAAACAGCTTCTTCATTAAAGATTCCCTCTCAACTAAATGTCTTCTCTCATTTCGGATCACTCTGGGAACAAAGCTATGGCCTTGCAGACCATAACAAAGGTTCATAAAAGCCCCAGAGATTACAACAAAGTTCAATTAGTATTTGATTTACCATAATACAAACTGCTAATCACTTGTCCCTTCCAACAATTAAAAAAAAACAACCCCTAAACCACCACAGCTTGCACAGACTTAACTTAACCTGTTTCAAATTTACCTTGCGTCTCTCTTCTGCCGCTTCCAACTTCTTTTGAATCTCCTCCAATGACACATCCTTCTTCTTTGGGGGAGAAAGAGGGAATTCTGGAACTGCTTCTTTCGAGCGAGGGCTGAGTATCAGCTCAAAGGCCTGCCCGGAGGCACGCTTCTCCAGTTCCTTCACTTGAATATCTAGGAACATGGGGAAAAAAACCCAAACAAATGGTATTTTAAGCCAGGAAGGGGCTTGGCTGACCTGAATATTCAGAAATGCAATGCCACAAAGCTCTCTCGGGGACAGCATCTGAGCTGATAGTTTTGATTTAAGCAGCAGCAGCACCCCCACTCAAACATGTGGCAGGCAATTTTGTTTGCAATTCTTCCTTGACACGGCATTACGCAAGCACCTGACATTTTATTTCAGACTTTAATATCCAGCATCACGAAAACAAATTCATCAGCACTTCAAATAAAAAGCCATCCTTTCTCCAATGACAAGTCTGAGGAAGAGTTCAAGGCGTTCGCCTGAGAGCTGACACAGCCAAGAATGGAAACCAGTTTTCAAAGAAATATGTAAGCCAGCGTTCTCTCCTCAAACACCTCTGAGCAGGCACGTCAGCCCTGCACGGTGTCAGCTGCACCAGAACACCAGTTTTGATCACCAAGACGTCTAGATGATAGTCAGTTCTGTTAACGGAGCAGATGGCATGCAGATGAGCTCAAGCCCATCTGCTAACAGCCTGGGCTGAGAGGGCTCTTGCTACGTTTTTCACAAGCACCCAGTTTTAACAGCTCCTCCAAAGCAGCCTGGGGATGGGAGAAAAGCACGGAGGTGACAGTTTATTTCACCATGTGAGATTTTAAAATTATTTCTGAGGAAATTAAGAGAAAAGACACATTTAGTCCACAATACTACATACCAGAAGTAGCCATGACCAAGAAAATACAGCTCCAGAAGCCAACTCTGGGAGGATTTCAATCGGTTGAATTCCTAGATAACAGAGAGACATGCATTTGAACAGTGAGTATGTTAATTTTATTTCTTCTAACTCCTAGTAGAAATTGCTAAACATAATTAGACCTGCTGAACAAAAGACTGTTGGGTAGGCTACTGCAGTCAGTAATTGCAGTCAGTCTGTGGGGCTGAGGCTGATGAACGTCGTTAGGAACAGCAGAGATGCTCTCAATTATTGCTGTTGCAGGATCCATATGCACAATTGTATAACTGGGTGTTTTCAGTCCTTGTTTTACTACACCATAATTAAGGTATGCAAACAAAGAGTCCAGTTATACCATTAATTCAACACCATGTGGTGCTATGGATATTTCACAGACATTACACATAGCAGACATGGCTCTTTGAATTAAAATACAGCACTTAACAGGACAGTAGAGACAGAACATCCGCTGCTACAAAAGGATCTTAAATGGGAGCATCGAGCTCATTTAAAATTCAATTTTATTTTTGCAGCTGAAGCCAGGTGCTGCACACCATGACAGACACGGAGCCCGCACACTGCCCAACATCACGCTTTAAAGGGAGGAAATAATAATAAAAAATAGTCATAAAAGGCTCTAAAAACCCTAAAAAGGAGGATTTTTTCTCCGGCTTTTAAGCCGTCGATGAAGCGGGGTTGGGGTGGGCGCGCCGCCCGGGCGGGCGCTAGGACCGCGCACCCACCCGATCCCCCAGCGGTACCGCCCCCCCTCTCGCCGCCGACCAATAGGCGCCGAGGCGGAGGCCCCGCCCCTTTTTCTAACCGCACCGAATTCAAACCGCCGGGGAGAGCGCGAGCGGGAGCGCGCGCGCTAAATATTCGACTTCAGTCACAAGCACACGATGGTTCCAGCCTTTGTCTCCAAGTTCAGCCCAGCATTCCCCGTGCTCCCAGTTTATCCATCGATATGTGCCATTAAAACCCCCCAAACCTGCTCTCTGCCCCCCAACAGGTCCAAGTTATGGTCTCTCTTACCTTAAATTCTGAAGTATCAAACCGCTTTGGAAAATCCTTCAGGGAGAGGGTCTGATCCCAGCCTGGCTTTGTCTCCTTCTTTCATTCCTTCAGTGCAACATCAGCTTTTGGTCAAGTAAAACTCTGGTGCAAAAGTGTAAGTGTGATACTCAAAGCTTTCTAAACTGAGGTTCCTTCTTTCACCAGCCCCAAGAGGACAGGTCAAGGGGTGCAGGGCTCAATGAACCCCTTAGAATAATAATTCCCAAGAAGCCAGGCAGCCCCAGGGTCAAGGACACAACTCAGGAAAGGCAGGACCCCAGCGAGACCAGTGTCACCAAGAGTTTGGCTTCCTGGCTCCAGGGGAAAGCACTTAGTAAAGCCAAATACTTCAGAAAATGGTGTTTATAGTGAAGAATTAGGTGGCTGTTCACACACACCAACCTCAACCTTGTCTTTACCATGGAGCAGCACAAGTACCTGTGGGTGTCTTCAGAGGAAGGGGTTGGAGGTTTTTTAAGGCACCTGTACCCAAATCCATCTCAAAAACCACTTTTCCTCAGAGCACAGGGTACAGCCCTACCCCTTTCTCACACCTCAGAGAAAACAAATGGAAAAATGCAAATCTCATTGTGGGCAAGAGTTAACCTTCAGCCTGGCCCTGTGGCACCATGTACCATCCCAACACATCTGCAGCAGACACCAAAACAAAAATAATCCTTATCCCAAACAGCATTTTCAGTAGGGACAGGCTGACCAGCCCGGCACAGAACAGGTTGCTGATTTTTAGGCTCTGACACTGCAGGAAACAGTACACAAACCACCATTGAACAGCCACACCCCCAAAAACCCCCCCCCCCCCCCCCCAAAATAAAAGGGCTCAGATCAGTCATGTGGTAACAAGGCTTCGTTTGTTGAAGTGTCAGCATCCAAAGGGAGGTGGCTCCCAACTCTTTTTAACAAACACACACACAACAGCTGACAACTGCTGAGGTGTCAAAACAAAGCTCCAATTGTAAAATTAAGACAATGGAAGGGCTCTGGGGGAAAGCAAAGCCTGCCCAGGGGACACAAGGAAAAGCACCACCACAGCCCCTTTCCACCCAGCGCCGGGCACGGACACCCCTCGCAGCCCTCCACCAACCAACTCCATTTCCAGAAGGAATTCTTATGATAACAGCACTGTGCAGCTTTATTTAGTCACTCAGTTACAGCAGTATTTTAGCAGAGTGGGACAGTCAGATATTTTTTTTTTGCAGTGTAACAGATATTCAGCATGGAACAGGAGATACTACAGATTCCTTTCACAAACGTCTTACAGAGCTGATACAGTACTAGCCATCAACCCAGTAGCAAGAGCACTGGAGTAGAAAAAGGATGCAACAAGAAGATAGCTACACTGGAAAGACAACACTTCTTTTTTCTTTTTTAGAAAAAGTGAAACATGTAAGTTCTCCCCTCTAGCCCCCAAAAGAAAAAGTGTACAGTTCGGATCTAATTTTAACAGTTCTACATCAGTTTCTAGAAACTTAAAAAAAACAAACAAAACAAACAAAACCAAAAGATAAAACCACTGGCCAGTACAGTCTTTGGATATTTAGAGGTGGGGGAGAGAGTCAGTTTCCAGAATGAAATCAGTCGGTTTCAGCCTCACCGGGGTCTTTGCCTTCTTTGTTCTTTCGAACCTCCTCAATGTGCTTGTCCTGAAAGACAGCAGTGGGGAGCAGTCAGCTGTGTGAGCCCCAGGGGCTGGTCCCCCCAATTCCCACCCCCAGCAGGAGCTCCAGGGATAGGTTACTGGGGGGGGGCTACCAGCTTTGTGGGCCCCAGGGCCAGCCCCCCCAGTTCCCACCCCCAGAAGAGCAGGAACCCTGGGTGTTGGTTACTGGAAGGGGTTTACAGGATGCTGCTTTACAAGAAAAATTGAGATGTTTCTCTCCATCTACCCCATCTCCCACCAAGAGAAGGATTTCTGAATAATTTTGCAGATTTATTAATCTTAATAATTTAAGACTAGACCAGCAGAGAACTCCCAAGGATACCCATCTATTCATACCCCCTCCTCACTCGGCCATTTACTCAGCTTTTTTCAGCCAATTTTCAAAGTAAGGAGCACGGATAATCTCTCTCCCAAAGGGGAACTGGGACTCTACACCCACCTTCTCCCTCAAGCGTTCCAGTTTAGCAGCCATTTGCGCCTCACGGTTTTCTTTGTTGGCTTCCATTTTGTGGGTCAGCTTCTCCTCTGCCATTTTGCTGAAGTTGTTGTTTTCTTCAATGGCTTTCTGAAGCACCTCCTTTTCATGCTCCCGCTTCTCAGCGAGCTGCTTCAAGACTTCTGCTTCATGAGACTAACAGAAGAGAGGACGCAGGCTTTGAACACAAACCAGATGAACTATACAGACAACTACGTGGCTCACAACTCCTGAGAGACAAGATTTTCCACTATTTTACCAGAGAATAGCATTAACTCCACGACACAGGACACAGCTCCCTGGTGCTTCCCCCCCACCCACATAACCCAGATGTCACCATTATAAGCTACCAGGAAAGTTAAGTTTTTATCATCACTTGCAAGTCTTGTTAAATGAGATTTTTCTGGAAAAAAGAACATGGATTGTTTTATGTTAACACTGATAAATCTTTTCCTAGAAGATTCTTCCTTCTCCTAACGGTGAATCACCAAGATCCACATCACACAGGAGTTAATTAATAAATTTGGTTAATAAGCCTTTGCACGGTTGAGGGCTCCAAGCTACATCTCAACAGCAAGATCTTCCATCAAGTCAGGCACTGTATTGGCAAACCTTTTAATTACAGAACCACCACTACATTTTCTAAGAGAAAATTAATCTGTTATTATGTTAAAGACAAGAAAAAACAGCTTCTTCATTAAAGATTCCCTCTCAACTAAATGTCTTCTCTCATTTCGGATCACTCTGGGAACAAAGCTATGGCCTTGCAGACCATAACAAAGGTTCATAAAAGCCCCAGAGATTACAACAAAGTTCAATTAGTATTTGATTTACCATAATACAAACTGCTAATCACTTGTCCCTTCCAACAATTAAAAAAAAACAACCCCTAAACCACCACAGCTTGCACAGACTTAACTTAACCTGTTTCAAATTTACCTTGCGTCTCTCTTCTGCCGCTTCCAACTTCTTTTGAATCTCCTCCAATGACACATCCTTCTTCTTTGGGGGAGAAAGAGGGAATTCTGGAACTGCTTCTTTCGAGCGAGGGCTGAGTATCAGCTCAAAGGCCTGCCCGGAGGCACGCTTCTCCAGTTCCTTCACTTGAATATCTAGGAACATGGGGAAAAAAACCCAAACAAATGGTATTTTAAGCCAGGAAGGGGCTTGGCTGACCTGAATATTCAGAAATGCAATGCCACAAAGCTCTCTCGGGGACAGCATCTGAGCTGATAGTTTTGATTTAAGCAGCAGCAGCACCCCCACTCAAACATGTGGCAGGCAATTTTGTTTGCAATTCTTCCTTGACACGGCATTACGCAAGCACCTGACATTTTATTTCAGACTTTAATATCCAGCATCACGAAAACAAATTCATCAGCACTTCAAATAAAAAGCCATCCTTTCTCCAATGACAAGTCTGAGGAAGAGTTCAAGGCGTTCGCCTGAGAGCTGACACAGCCAAGAATGGAAACCAGTTTTCAAAGAAATATGTAAGCCAGCGTTCTCTCCTCAAACACCTCTGAGCAGGCACGTCAGCCCTGCACGGTGTCAGCTGCACCAGAACACCAGTTTTGATCACCAAGACGTCTAGATGATAGTCAGTTCTGTTAACGGAGCAGATGGCATGCAGATGAGCTCAAGCCCATCTGCTAACAGCCTGGGCTGAGAGGGCTCTTGCTACGTTTTTCACAAGCACCCAGTTTTAACAGCTCCTCCAAAGCAGCCTGGGGATGGGAGAAAAGCACGGAGGTGACAGTTTATTTCACCATGTGAGATTTTAAAATTATTTCTGAGGAAATTAAGAGAAAAGACACATTTAGTCCACAATACTACATACCAGAAGTAGCCATGACCAAGAAAATACAGCTCCAGAAGCCAACTCTGGGAGGATTTCAATCGGTTGAATTCCTAGATAACAGAGAGACATGCATTTGAACAGTGAGTATGTTAATTTTATTTCTTCTAACTCCTAGTAGAAATTGCTAAACATAATTAGACCTGCTGAACAAAAGACTGTTGGGTAGGCTACTGCAGTCAGTAATTGCAGTCAGTCTGTGGGGCTGAGGCTGATGAACGTCGTTAGGAACAGCAGAGATGCTCTCAATTATTGCTGTTGCAGGATCCATATGCACAATTGTATAACTGGGTGTTTTCAGTCCTTGTTTTACTACACCATAATTAAGGTATGCAAACAAAGAGTCCAGTTATACCATTAATTCAACACCATGTGGTGCTATGGATATTTCACAGACATTACACATAGCAGACATGGCTCTTTGAATTAAAATACAGCACTTAACAGGACAGTAGAGACAGAACATCCGCTGCTACAAAAGGATCTTAAATGGGAGCATCGAGCTCATTTAAAATTCAATTTTATTTTTGCAGCTGAAGCCAGGTGCTGCACACCATGACAGACACGGAGCCCGCACACTGCCCAACATCACGCTTTAAAGGGAGGAAATAATAATAAAAAATAGTCATAAAAGGCTCTAAAAACCCTAAAAAGGAGGATTTTTTCTCCGGCTTTTAAGCCGTCGATGAAGCGGGGTTGGGGTGGGCGCGCCGCCCGGGCGGGCGCTAGGACCGCGCACCCACCCGATCCCCCAGCGGTACCGCCCCCCCTCTCGCCGCCGACCAATAGGCGCCGAGGCGGAGGCCCCGCCCCTTTTTCTAACCGCACCGAATTCAAACCGCCGGGGAGAGCGCGAGCGGGAGCGCGCGCGCGCGGGGGCGCCGTCACCGCCGCCAGAAGGGCGTTGCCCCTCACGGCGCGGCTCCAGGGGACAATAGACACCCCCCCCACACATTGTCTCCCGCCGCCCCTTCCCCTTATATCCCCGCGACGCCCCACAAGCGGGCGGCGACGCGACGCCCGTCTCCCGTGAGGAGAAGAAACAACAAAAAAAGGAGCCAGCGCGGCGCAAACCCCCCCCATCCTCTCCCTGACACCCACCCTCGGACCTCCGCCTCCCCCGCTTTCCCCACACCCGCGGGGGTTCGCCTCAGTTCCCCGGGGGGGTGGGCGGATGGGTGAGGGGAGGGAGCCGCCGCGCACCCACCTGCCCGCTCGGCCGCTCCGGTCACACTCCGCTCGCGCCCGCCCCGCCGCGCACAAAAGCGCCAAACAATGGCACGTGACCCGCCCCGCCCCGCCCCTATTGGCCGAGCGCGGCGGCACGTGCCGCCCGCCGCGGATGAAGGGGAGGGGGGAGCGAGGAGAGGGGCGCGCGACCACCCCTCCCTCCATCCCCCCTCCTCCCTCTCCGCCCGCTGCATGCCGGGAAATGTAGTCCGCTAAAGGCGGGAGGGGGCGGAGGGGGGCGGCGGCCCCCGCGGCCCGGCGGGGAAGGGGCGGAGGGCGCGGGACCCCGCCGCCACGACCCACATCTCCGCGGGCCTCCCCCCGGCCGGGCGGACCCCCCACCCTCCTGTCCGCCCTCGCTACGGTGGGCGGTGGGACTCCCTTTGTCTCCCACCCCGGTGGCGGGGGGGAGTGAGGCCCCTCGGTGGGCTCGTTTGGGCAGGGTCGCCCGTCCCCTCAGGGGGAGCGGAGCCGTGGCTCGGGTGGTCTCCTCGGGGGTGGCCACTGGCCTCGGGGCTACAGTCACCTCAGCACCATGCCTCAGGACCCTTGGTCACCTCAGGGCCACCATCACCTCATGGCTGTGGCCATGTACCTGGGGGCCATGGTCACCAAAGGGCTACAGTCACCTCCCTCAGGGCCCTTGGTCACCTCAGGGCCATGGCCACCTACTTCATGACTATGGTCACCACAGGGTCCTGGTCACCTAGCTCAGGGCCATGGTCACCTCAGGGCCACCATCACCTCATGGCTGTGGCCATGTACCTGGGGGCCATGGTCACCAAAGGGCTACAGTCACCTCCCTCAGGGCCCTTGGTCACCTCAGGGCCATGGTCACCTCAGGGCCACCATCACCTCATGGCTGTGGCCACCTACCTCGGGGCCGTGGTTACCTCGGGGCTACAGTCACCTCCCTCAGGGTCCTTGGTCATTTCAGGGCCATGGCCACTTACTTCATGACTACAGTCACCTCAGGGCCATGGCCACTTACTTCATGACTATGGTCACTCAGGGCTATAGTCACCTACCTCAGGTCCACAGTCACCTCAAGGCCACAGCCAGCTACCTCAGCTCCTTCGGTCATCTCAGGACTACAGTCACCTTCAAGGCCATGGCCACTTACCTTGGGGCCATGGTCACCTCAGGGCCATGGTCACCTACTTCAGGACCATGGCCACCTCAGGATCACAATCACCTCAGCATCATTGCCACTTACCTTGGGGCCATTGTCACCCTGGGTCCATGGTCACCTGCTTGGGGGCATGGCCACCTCAGGGCCAGCCAGTTATCTCAGGGCCTGGTCACTCAGGGCTATAGTCACCTACCTCAGGTCCACAGTCACCTCAAGGCCACAGCCAGCTACCTCAGCTCCTTCGGTCATCTCAGGACTACAGTCACCTTCAAGGCCATGGCCACTTACCTTGGGGCCATGGTCACCTCAGGGCCATGGTCACCTACTTCAGGACCATGGCCACCTCAGGATCACAATCACCTCAGCATCATTGCCACTTACCTTGGGGCCATTGTCACCCTGGGTCCATGGTCACCTGCTTGGGGGCATGGCCACCTCAGGGCCAGCCAGTTATCTCAGGGCCACAATAACCTTAGGGCTCTTGGTCATCATCAAGATGACCACCATGTTCCTTTGGTCACCTCAAGGTCACAGCCCAAGCCCAAATAGGATCTGTGGGTCTGACCACACGTTGTCCCCGTAGCCCCTGGCGGTGTGTTTTGGGGGACAGCCACACAGCCTCCTTTGGGGAGGATTCTGGTTCCCAATGGAGGATTCTCCTTTGGGGTGATACCAGCACGTCAAAGCAAGTCAAGAAGAGCCATAATTTCTGCAGATTCTATAACGTGTACATAACGGCCATGTAAAGACCATCCATCCTTGTCCCATGGGCTGCACTGGGAGCAGCTCCCTTCCCGAGATAACGCTGTTGCCAAGCGTGGGGAAGTGGTTTGCTCACAAATGGGCTTTAAATGAACTGGCTGCATTTTTGCACGTCCCTGTACAAATGACACCGGTACGATTCCCCTGGTATTTTCCACCCTCCAGTCACCGGAGCTACACCAAGAGTCAATACACATAAAAGACGACCATCCAGAGAACAGCATAGATCTCCTGCGACAACTCAAGCCCAGCACAACAGGCTCCCTACCCTAAATACCTAAAAAAAAATAGGACTTTTCTGAGGGGACCCACCCTTGTTGTGCACACTCTTAAAACCAAAGATTTTGCACCAAAAAAAAAAAAAATCCCACCTTGAGGAAGGTTAATATTGTGACAGAAATGCATAAAGCTTTCAAAACAGAGATTATTTTAAACACTTGCCCTGTTTTTTTTTTTTACCGATCTGACGTCTATTTCCATGGAAACCACATCCAGCCGCCGAGCTGCTAGAATTGGGAGAGGTTTCTGCCGGAGCGGCTCGCCGGGCATGGGAAGAGCCATTTTCCAGCAGCTTGGTAGAACCTTCTTTTTTTTTTTTTTTGTGGGATTGAAGGGATTTCAGACTCAAAAAGGGTTTGGCTGCTTGGCCCTCCAGGGTGATGCCTGGTAGATTCACAGGGTTCCTGGCTTGGTACCGGGGGTGTGTGCGCAGATACCGCATACAACACACGTGTTTTTCAATGAGACATCTTGAGTGCTTGGATTAAATCGCCTCAAATGTTGCTGGAAGACAAAGCAGCCAAAAGACCGTGCCACCAGCCTGTGTTTTACTGTATCATTTATTAATTATCATCCGTTTAGATCAACAGTGTGTTGGATGCTTTAATATTAACGCCTTTTAGTAAAATCAATGAGCTTATCCTGGGATAATCTCAGGATTTCCCAGAGGAAACAAGGCTTCCTGGGCTCGGGGCTTTTTGTTTGGTACCTGTGTGACTGCCTTTAGTCCATCCTCTCCCCCTGGAGAGAAGATGATGATGAAATGTCTTTTACTGCTTTTGAAGAAGGGATGCGGGCTGAGATAAAACCACGAGTCATGCAGGGGCTGTCCTCAGAGCTTTCCATCTTATTTCCTGGGCTTCTCACGGGTGAAAAAAAAAAAAAAGAGAGAGAAAAAAGAAAAAGACCCGAATGTAACTTACTTTCCTTTGCAGATTGGTTTTAAAGCCAAAAAAGGTGAAAACAAAAAAAAGAGAGAGAAAAAGGAAAAAGACCCAAATGTAACTTAACCTTCCTTTGCAGATTGGTTTTAAAGCCAAAAACATTTTGGTTTATTGACGAGAGGCACTGAGTTGGGAATCAAGATTTGGGATCTGTTCTCAGCTCTGACATTTTCCACGCCATGTCACCTGGGTTGAGACTCTTCAGCAACCCCTCTACAACACCTGCTACAACTGCTTTCCATTTAAACCAAAATCTTTGAATGTTATTGTGAGACAAAGGGGATGAACAGCTCTTAGCAGCTGGAAAGGCATGGAGACGATCTCATTTTTGGCCTCGTTGCAAGAGCGGTTTTATTTTTGGAACGTTTCATAAAACTCATTTGTTTGTGTGGCATTTATTTTTGTCTGATCTCAAGGAGAATGGAGAATATGAAAAGCTTTTATTTAATTTGCATTTGGTTTGTGTTTATCAACACATTTACTGCAATTCCAAGCAAACTCTTGTTTCCTCAAGCCCAGCGGCGTGTGGCTGCAGTAGTTTTTGTCTCCTGGATTCCTCATCGCCACGAAGAAGAGATTTTTGCCATAATTCCAGGTTTTTCCAAGAAAAGAGGGCGAGATCAAGTGGGCTTGTTCTCAGCACAGACACAACACGAGGCCCCTGGGCTGAGGTTCAACACTCTCAGTGCAACGTGTAAGTCAGGGTCTCGTCAGGAGGACTCCTTGTACGTGTGAATTTGGGACGTGACGCGATCAGATTTAGCATAAAGATTAAAGCGTCTCCTCTGATGTGCTTATCAAAATACCCCACAAAGAGACCGACATAATTAGGTGACAACTCAGCCCACGGCAGCTCTTTTAACTTGCAAAAATATTTAATCTCCAATAAGAAAATGTGCTTTCCGAGTATTAAATTGCCACCCTTAAGCACCCGTGGCGGATGGACTGACAGCTTATTTGTTAAGCAGGGAATGTTTTAAAGCACCTTGGTAAGTAATATGAGCAAGCATTTGCTGAGACTGGTAACAGTTCATTCTAAAACTAGAAATCCAATATACTATTTGACCTGAGTCAATCAGTTTAACCGATTTAATAAATAACCTGCTAGAGGAGACAGTCATTTAAAAGAAACTTGCACTCAGAGGGACAGAGAAGGGCTAAAAGATTTCTTTCTACCCGTGTTTTTCAGTCTTTCTATTAACCCTCAGCAAATTTTTCTCCATGCTGCAGCTTTCCCATCTCCACGCCGGCCGTGCTGACGTGCTGCTGCCCAACAAAGGGCTCACAAGGAAAATTAGGGGCTGCAAAGATCTCACTGATCTTCAGATAAAACCACATTTTAATCTAAATGTAGTTGAGGAGTCCACAGAAATGAAGACTAAACCAAGACTTTTAGGGAGTGTCTCTCCCACAGTGAGAGCTCTTCCACAGGCAAGAAATGTTTAAGGTAATTGATATTTGCTGACTAGAGGGGTTTAGGTTGATACTGTGTTTATGCTGAAAAATGCCATTAAGAAAATGTTCCCTTCGGAACAAATTTGCACTTGCTGATGTGCTGGTGGAAAGGATTTAATTATTTTCAGATGAGACAGGGCGCCTGGCTTCCATTGCTACTTTGTTTGTTGAGAAATTCACTCAAACTCGCTTTCCTCCATAAAATGAGACAAGTAAAAACACTCACCACAGACAACGATTGCGCCTGCAGCAGGAGAGATGAAAATATAAATGAATTGCTTCGTTATTGGGGCAGTATAACCCTGAAATGCCATACTCACCTCTTCAAATGCAGTCATAGGACTGTATTGCAAAGATCTCCAAATACTATGGTGATGAGGGCTATAAATAGTGTAAGAAAATGATGTAAGCTTCTAATGAACAAAAGACAAAGGCCCCACACTTTTCTGTCCTTGCAAAAAAATTCTCCAACACACTGAAATGGTGATGAACC